TTATGCTGATTTCATCTGAATTGTCAACAATTTTGAAAGCTTGCCAATGTTCAATGTAAGTCACAATGAGGAGAATGGAATCCTCATCCAAGCATCTTTTAGAGAAGTGATAGATGAGGGTCATTTTCCAAATTAGCCAAAAGGCTCAATCAGGGAAAATGTTTCATACCCATAGATCAATAGCAAATCAATATAAACTGGCATGTCAGAAATTTATAGATCTAATCCCTGCATGATCTTAAGCAATTTACACAAAATCAGTCATAAATGTACTGATATATGTATAATATACCAGTTCTAAACATACCTTTCACTTTCTTTGTGCCGGCTTTATCTTTCTTTTCATCCTTGGTTCTGATATCAATGTTTATGAGAATGTGATCCACCTGTAAGGCATTTTATTCACATGATAAATTAAGGATAATATTCGAATAATTTTTAATCTTCTTATAGCCACAACATCCAATAATTGATTGATAGAGAAATGAAAATTCTATAATCTCAAAGTCATGCAGCTAGGAATTTTCCAGACTGTGCCTGTTACTTATAACTTACCAGCATTGAACGAATGGCTGGACGGAAAAAATGAGTGGGATCTTCATATCCTTCATACAGGTTTATTTTATCCATCATAAATGGGGCACTCACATAATCCACTAAAAAAAACAAAATTTGAATTAATTCTTCAACTCCTATGCAAATAAATCTGAGTACGAAAAAGTTTACAAGTAAAATCTAATGTGCTGTATAATTCATATTAAAAGACTGTATTCTGTAATGACCATATCTGCCCCACCCACCCCAAATGCAAATAACTTAGATCCAAATAAAAAAAATATTTTTCTAAATTAAGCTCTCTCAAACAAAATATAAAATTGTATATATTTCTATAAATTATAAAAATATGGCTTTTAGGGAGGCAGAATTAATAATATTTTTTTATTTTTTGCTTTTACAGTACTAGTTCTCTCACATTTTGTGTTTTTTAAATTTATTATTATTGATAACAAAGAGCTTATATCATTGATATAGTTTTTTACAAGTTTTTTTATGTAGTTTTTGCCCTGCACATGCTCATCCTTCTAGCTTTGGGTACCACCAAATTTGACCCTTTGACCTTGGAGTTTGACACTTTTACACAGATAGAAATATCAAACTTTTACTTTGGTCATAACTTTTGATGGTAAGACTTTCATAGTTCATACTTCACATATGTATTCTTTGTGTCAAGACCTTCCATTGGATACAAACAACTTTGACCCATTAATATTGATCTTGACCTTGGATTTTGACCTTCTCTTAAAATAATTTTTGACTTTGGCCATAACTTTTGAATGGTTGACTAGGGTTTCATACTTCATATATGTAATCCTTGTGACAAGACCTTTCTCCAGAAACCAACAACTTCAACCCTTTGACCTTGACCCTGGAGTTTGACCTATTTTTAAGAAACTTAAACTTGGCCATAACTTTTGAACAAGTGGGACTGCAAGGCCTTTATATTTCATAATTGTATTTCTTGTGAGAATTAAGGCCTTACTTGGGGTACCAATATATTTGATTTGCATTTGAGAAAGTTTACCCTTCACTATTAAAGATATGCCATATGGGGAGATCAGTGTTTTACATTAAATATTCAAAATATTTTTCAGGAATCTATTGATAATGCATCAATATCATCTGATGGAGACCAATTTAGCATATTAGATTGCATTTTGAGATAATAATAAGCTATTATCCTTCCCATCACAAATGCATGATAAATAAAGTTCTTCAGTATCTTTAAATGACTTACTTTCATTATCTGTCTCAAAATATGTCTCAAAAAATTTACTGATGCAGTTCTGTGCTTCCTCTGGATAATTTGCACACTGTAATGGATAGAATTCCATTAAATGTTACCCTTCATTTCATAAAACAGTGATTGCAATTCTTTTGATATCTTAGAATAACTATTCAAATAAAATGATGCAGCTTACAGTATTGATATTTGTGATGGATACTAAAAACTCATAATAAAATACTGAGGAAATGGAGACATTCAAGCTGAACAACAAATAATTTTTAAAAAACAGTTCACATTGAATTCTTCCTAACTTGAAACATTAATGTATGAAGGATTAATTACCCCATGTAATGGCATTTCCATTTTAACCATTTCTGCCTCTGCACAAAGTCGTTTGAAGGGACAGTGTAATTTCACAAATACATTTTCCCCGATGACTTCCTTTTGAATATCGAACCCCTCTTTTGCCAGGGCTGACTCAAACCGATCTCTCTTTTCCTCCTTTTTCCGTAACTCCTCTTGCTTTTCTTCGTCATCTTGGTAATCATTGGAGTACTTGTTTTTATGAACAAGTACGTAGTCTATACGTTTCTGCTCTGGAATCAATTGCGGACCCAGTTCCGTGTACCTTCGCTCAAATGCCTTCACCTGCGGATTGCGTTTGAGGTGATGTTTCCTCAAGTTTCGAAATCTGACGGTAGAAGTGACGGCAACAAAGGACCCCATTGGAGGATCCCCATCTGACTCATCTTGGCTGTTGTCGGCAGACATGTTAGTCAAGGTTAACCGCCCCCCAGATTTGGTCATGATTCTCGGTCATCTATAAACAAAATAAATAAATCTGAAATTAAATCTCGATAAATACGTACTCCTCTTAATCCTGGATTAATACAAGTCACTCAAACCAAACAAACGTGCTATACATGCACAAATCACACTTATACAGTGTTTTACCTTTATTAGTGAACTTTAATCTCTGTAATTATATCAATTAATGTAAAGTTCAAAAGATCTCCCTCCAGTTTTAAGGATTAAAGCATTCCCAAAATGAATTCCCATTTCAGCAGTTTCTGGACACTCTCCTCACAACTTTAATTATTTGTCTCAATCCGAAAACAAAATTAATTTACATGTACAAGGTTGTTTTATCCCCTAGTTCTGAAATTTGCACCACAATCACATTGAATATGATGGATCCTTAAATGACAATAATAAAATCATCCTAGAAATGTATAAATTCATTCCAGTTCAATATATTTAATCACACAACTGATTTCACTTTATCATCCATGCATAAAACATGAGCCCTAGAACATCTTAAACTTGTATTTGCTGACAATAAATAAAATCCCTCTGTCAACAAATGACAGCAAGTCCATTTACAAAGTATTATCAGCATTGCCATACAAACACATCTGGAAATAAGCCCTGCAAATACAGGTATTGATTTCTACAGTTATTTCACCTGAGTTGCTGTGGATGCTGAAAGTCTGTGATAATGAAGCCACAAACTGTAATTACATGTATATCCGAATGAAGTGCCGTTTAATCTGAAAATGCTTAATGTCAATTCTCTCTTGTGGCTTTGAACTTTTATCAAATCGCAGTTATTTCAGCAATCATTGAATTATTTTTAGAATTTAGCCTTATTTAGGTGATTGAGGAAATCATCATTATCAAAGAAAGGTAAACTCTTAGTATCTATGGTGGGTGAATATATTCTCAAAAATAAACATAAAATTATTAACATTCTGATTCAGATTTATATCAGAAGTCGTAAAAGTGCTGTTGATCTGTTAAAATTGTTGGTTAAATCTAGATGGTTATGATATATTTATGCACCGGCATTGTTTTTTTTTTGTTCTCAGGCCTCGATATTGATCCTGTCATACAGTTTTTGTATGTTATCATAATTATGATGAAATAAAAATAAAAAATAAAAATCCTGCAGCATCTAAATATTGATATTTTACTAATGAATCTGAATATATTTTTATATGATCACATAAATATTGCTATTTATTCTGTAGCGTATAATACTTTTGTCATTGATCATTGGGGAAACATAATTAACAAGGAAAGATTCATGCTATAGACATTTAGACTAGATTTCCTCACAACTTGAATTTATGTATAGAAATTCAGATGTTCTATCAATAATCTGGACCTGACTTAGTCAAAATATCCCTTTTCTCTCTTTCTTTCTCTCTCTTCAATGCTCACCTGAGCCAAATTAAGTGGCCCTGTTGTTCTCTAAACCAAGATTTATTTTAAAAATCCTTCATTCCCACAGAAATTCTTACCCTATAATTTGACTATGTCCTTAAACAGTAAACCTAGAGGAGTCTGACATGAACTGCATACATATAAGATATGTACATATATTTTGATAAAAATTGAATTACACAACCCTAATTACTTGTAGTTAGATTACTTAGATTAGTTAGAATGGGGGAGGGGGGGGGGGCAATAATGAAGTGATTTCTTCATTAAGTATTGTTTGTACAGCAAATAAAATATTTGAATTTAAATGTGTCCATGGCATATATGTCTGTCATTCAATAGATATATAAAGCTTGAGCTATTTAAAGTCAAAATTATTAAAAGAGCTGAAAAGAGTTTTTTTCTTCTTAAATTTGATCTCTTTCTGCTAAACTTCAAGGTTTGTATCTGTACATGTATCACGTTACAGCAGTACTTTTCCAAGGTAGCAAGGTTATAAACAGGCTATTGATATCAAACAAAATATATTGTAGGCCTAATCGAAATGTAAAGCTAAAGGCAGAGCTAGGGTCTTCTAAAATTGTGAATTCTTTATTCATTCAATATTTTTTTTGCAAAGATGTGTCTTATTTATATGACTGTTAGTAAAACAAAATAATTTTTCCACTTAAATGATAATTAGAAATGCAATATGCAATAAAATTGCCAACACTTCGTAAAGAGTATTCAAAATATCTAGGGGTTGGGATGAAGAGGGAGGAGGGGTGTATCTTTAAATGGAGGCAAAAAAATCATGGTTAAATTCTATAGTATACATATAAAGCCATGCTTTACTAAATAATTAACACAATTATGTATAAATCATTACAAAGAAAAGTTTGCAAGAGCTCAAAGTATTAGGTTTTGTAACTGCAATGCATTTTAAATATCATGCAGCCTTCATAAGACCCATCAAAATTTATATAAAAAATTATTCTACGTCCAAAGATTCAAGGGGGGGGGGGGGGTACATGTACAAAGCACTTACCCCGATATTGCAACTGCAAGTTAATGACGAAATTCGAAACCTAATCCGTAGTTTCCACTTTCACTTATGAATTACTTTAAACAGATATTAGCATCTCATTCAAATCTGATACAGCAGTATTGTCTTATCAAATCTTATCAATTTATACTACAGAGAGCACGTTGCGAAATATGTCTTATTGTTTATATTCGAAGTATAGTATAGTTACCAAGTACGCGGTTATCTCCTTTCTGCTTCTCATTTTCTGAATCCCGAGCCCGATTATATTTTCAAAGCTGTTAACGCTTTGTCGTTAAGTTCTTTTGAATCAACCGGTAAACCCTTTTATTCAGGGGCGTTGACAAGTGTTTGACATTGGGAAGATAAGCTGGATTGAAAGGGGGGGGGGGTAACTAAGTGTTTTTACTTAAATTCAAATTTCTACCAGAAATGAAAGAAAAAATGAGCAAGCTCACATACCCCACGGTCCCCCAAAACTCGAAGTGCTGACATCCCCCATTGTAATTTCCTGGTAATATGCACATCTACACATTGTGTCCTAAATATATGCAAAGGTTGACAAAATTCTGTGCAAGAGTTTATGAGGAGTTGAGCTGACAAAAGTGCGGAAATTCACAGAAAAAGAAATGGAATCGGAATCTCCTGGTAATTTGCACATTTACACATGGTGTCCTAAATATCTGCAAAGTTTGACAAAATTCTGTGCAGCAGTTTATGAGGACTGACGGACTGACACACTGACGGACGGGTCAAAAACATCATACCTTCAGCAAATTGTTGCGTGGGGTATAAAAATGAGTTATTTTCCTATTCTGTCAATGTCTCAAAGACTCAAAGACAAGTGGACGTTGACTTGTTGAATTTTAAAGTCATTCATACCTATTATTGACTTTTCATCCCAGCTTAAATTAACACTGTTCCGCATTTTCGAGGAGGGATGCGCGTTTTCTAGGGAGGTATGTGTGTTTGTGTGTGTGGGTGCGGGGGGGGAGGACACTTTTACTTGGTTTATTATATACATTTAATAGATCAGCGTATAATCAGTTTTCCTTTAAACTTATCTGTCAGTTAATCAATTAATAAGCACTAATAAACATTATGCAATTAGACAAATGAAACTCTGTTACTTATACATGAACAATGTCACTACGAGTCGCCCGCGTGGCGCAGTTGTTGGTTAGAGCGTCTGCTCTAGAGTCTCGAAGTAAGGAGTCAATCCTTACGTCGTAGGTTTGAATCCCACCTTGGGACGTGGAGACCGGTCCTTCGGATGAGACCATATAAATCGAGGCCCTAAGTCGCAGTAGGTGCTGGCACGAAAAATATCCTCTCTGCTCAATGGCCCTCAGTGCCGTGGATAGGACAAAATTTGCAACTATCCACCAGCAAGTGGTGACGGAGTGAAAAATTCTCGATAGGGACGTTAAACAACATACAATCAATCAATAACACTGCGCTTGACGTGATGAGTTTACCAATAGGTATGGCACGCCAAATCCACAAAAATGAGCGAAACATAGTTTCACAGTCGATAAACTAGGTTTATCGGTTGTAAACTATAGTTTACAGACTGTAAACTATAGTTAACAACGTTAATCTATATTTTACATCTGTAAACCATAGTTAACGCGATAATCTATGTTTCACAACCGTAAACTATACTTAACATCGAAAACAATCATTTGCCATCGCAAAACATAGATTATCTGATAAATACAGTTTCACGATTTGTAAACTATAGTTTACAAACCGTTAACTATAGTTAACGATCTGAAAAATATAGTTTCACGATTTGTGAAACTATGATTAACAACTCTTAACTATAGTTTACGATTGTAAACTATAGTTTACAAACGTGAATCTATGTTTATCAACAAAATCTATTGTTAAGCTTTATTCAGACAGATAAACTTAGATTAGCATTCGTAAACTATAGTTAACGACCGTTAAATATAGTTTTACAGATGAAAACTATACTTAACGAATCGTTAACTATACTTAACGAATCGTTAACTATAGTTTACGGTTTGTAAGCTATAGTTTACAGTCGATAAACCTAGTTTATCAATTGTGAAACTAGGTTTATCTCATTTTTGTGAATTTGGCGTGCCATAAATAGGCCCATATTATAGGTCCATGCCTCTTAACGTAATTTTTAAGTTTAGGCCCGCGGCACACAGAATGTCCAAAAATGAATCTTCGTCCATGCATTCCGCGCTGACACAAAGTCTTTGGGAACTGCCAAAAAGTCCATTGCATCCTTAGCCTCCCTGTGCAGGATCATCAAATGATTCAGGCTTTCCTGGCACAGTTCACCACAAGATCTAGAGCTTCGGCGTAGTGCTGTCTATAGATCGAAGGCTTTCTCTGACTTGGAGAGTTTCGGAGGAGGCTTTCCGGTTTCAAATCGCTTAGGCATTTTTCATCGCTTATTTACGTCCAGATCTTCAAGTTTTCTATTCAGTTATTCCAAAATGCGTCGAAGGGGTCGTCATTAGACATTTCGCCGAATTATATGTCATGGAAAATTCACGGTCAAGTGTTGGCCCTCAGAGGCTGAAAGGTCTTTCTTCTGTAATGTTCGGCTTAGATTTTCTGTGTGACGGAGAATCTCATATCCAATGGATACTCCAAAAGGGAATCAAAACTTGGCATTTGGGTTTGACATGCTTAGTTGGGCACCTGATCCCACCTCTGATGATTTGGGGGTCCGTGTTTGCTCTGCTCCTATTTTGTCTTGTTTTATGGATTTTTTATCTTAAATGCTGTTTGTTATCTCCATATGTTTCATTCCTTTCCAGCCTTAGTCATGGAGCGATCGCTCCATGATCGAAAGGTCGTGAGCTCGAATGTCGACCGCGACTGAGCTAAGCCGATAAAAATGGTTTGCAACTGTTTCCTCATCATACGCTCGACACTTTGAAGTGAAAGTTGCGGATCCTTCGGATGAGACCTTAAAAACCGTCATGGCAGACGTTGGCACGATAAAGATCCTTCACAGTCCCCCTTACTGTTCAATGTCAATGAATGCCGAGAAAAGGTAAAAATTTGAAGCCCTTCCCTTGATGTTTCCAGAATTTAGAGGTGACATCCTTCCAGTTACTGAACCCCGTGGGAATAAAACTACCCTCGGTCTTGTAGTTGGAAATCTTGTCCTCTTTTGCATCTACCATGCAGGTAAAACAGAATTAAAGCAAGTACGAGTTTTCTCTTCGTTATAGGAGAGCTTTTCTAATAATTTTGAGAATTTTCGCTCGCAACTTACCACAGCAAGTTGCAATTAAATTTTTTATGGAGACTGAAAGACCCTCTCATGAAAATCTTTATATATATACGACTTACTGACATATCGTCGCAAACCACGGCCAAATATGTTCGATCCTCTCCCATTATGGGAGAGAGGCATGCGTATTCCGAAACATGCCTTGAGACGATGACTTACTGGCGAAGTCATTATCATAGGTGCTACCCATGTAAGTCTGTCAATGACGAAAGATAAGTATATGTATATAGGTCTACTCCTCTATACTATAAATAACCTATTTTTTAAAATAATATTACGACTATTTATGTCATCTCTGAGCCTTCATACCAAAACATCATATCTGTAGAATCATGCCGGTGGAGCTCAGGGACATTGCCCTCTTGGGTGGAGTTAGTGTGGCACATGCATGGCAACTATGTAAGTATTCACAGGCTCCTTTAAGTGATTTGTCAACCACTCAATCTTTACACTGTTGGGGACAAACTGCTATGCTGACAGAAAATAGTTATACATCCTATAAATGATCATTCAAATAATCATCGTCGGAAACCCACGGCTGATTACGCTTCGTCGGGTTTCCGACGATGTCAAATAATTTAAAATTAAACATCTGACGTTATTTTATAATAAATATTCTATATACACGACCTTATGATAAAATAATGTTAATTATATATAAATCAATTTGAAATTAAAAATTATAAAAAGAGGGTGCACTATTTAATTTATATAATAAAATGAAGTTCTATTTTCTAACCTTCAATACATTACGGAAACGGATTAGTGGAATATTTATATAATATTTACATTTGTTTATTTGTTTGTTATCCTCTCGCAACGGAGTTGGATGGGATATAGTAACGCATTTGTGTGTAATTAAGTTTGTCCTGTGAGAAATGGAAGTGGGGTAAATTGCATCGAAGTTGATGTAGGGATGCTGTCTTGTTGTATGGATAGGGATGCTCATCCTCGCAAGCCAGGGGTCCTAAGTCAACACGCTGCAGTCGGACCCATTAAATATTCTAGGGCTTGATTCTCTGATCGAGAAGCACTAGTCAAATTAAAGCTTTCAAAAAAATTGTTAGATAATGTAAACAAAAAGGATTCAAGAATGTCAAATCATATTTTTAAGTTATTGAAATATACATATATGGGTTGGCAATTCAGACTTTTTAATACCGGTATTTGATCACGTGACCAACCCGTATTTTTATACATCCAAATAGATTCATTTAACAAGTTTTCGGTTTATTTTATGAGCTTTGTGTGTTATTATGCTATCACAGCTAGATTTGCAAGAAGAGTTGGTGCTGCAAGAGGCAAGTTCAAGGTGAATTTTCCAGCAACAACCGGTAATGAAGACTTTGAGAGATACTACAGGGCCCAGTAAGTACAGTTTATTTTGTGGTTCTATTGTTTCTGTGGCATATTCAGGAATTACAGAACGGAGTTGGTTTTGTTTATGGTCTTAACAGATTAGTCAGAATCACATATTGAATCACATGTATTCTACAAAATGTACTAATTTTTAGTTTTTCACTTTTCTTTCAAGAATGAATGCTTTGGAATTCTTCCCCATATTTTCCACTACTCTATGGATGGGCGGGTTGTTTTTCCATCAAGGTAAATTTTACTGAACAGTCTCGAATATATTTATCCTTTTAACTTATTCTATCTTTATCTTTTTTTTTTAACATTTACCCTCCTGTCATCTTTGATAATGAATTTTGTTTTTAGTTCCCGCAGCTATTGCTGGTGTTGTGTATATTTACGCAAGACAGAAGTACTTTAATGGCTACATTATCAGTGTTAAAGATAGGTAAATTCAAGTTTTTGATTTCCAGCTACATTATTAATGTTAAGGATAGTTAATTTTCTCATCGAAGAGATGCATACTGTCTCCATCTTTTTATGTGGGGTACTTTAAGAACAATCAAGTTTTTAAGGGCGAAATTTATGATAAATTGAGGAAAACTGGGAAACTAGTTCTTACTGACTTGTATATATACTTTGAATAAGATAAAATGTTAAAAAAAAAAAAGAAAAAAAAGAAAAAGAAATACAAGAACCCTATATTATTTAATTTTCCAAGTTTTTGCTAGCTATCCGTTTCTAATGTTATATTTTATCTTTATAAAAGAAGTTACTGAAATCGTCGTAGTATTCCACCAAAATTGGCTGTGTAGAGTTTTCAGAAAGTTACATACAAATACAGTAGTTAATAAACGATTTGTTCCAGGTTGCCAGGATTTAAGCTCTGTGTGAGAAGTATCATAGCACTGTTGGGAATGTGTGTCCTAGGGTTCGGCCATCTTGCCATTGAGACCTTCACAGGAATTAACATTAGGGAGCAGTACCTGCAGCAATACCTCAAGTTCTGAATCATTTAAATGCAGGGTCCACTGATAACTCAGGATGTTGGATTTTAAATTAATAAATGTTACAACCCAAAACAAGAAAATCACAGTTTTCTTGCAAACTGAAACGATTTATCAACAAAATATTGTAACTCAGTTCTTGCAAACTGAAACGATTTATCAACAAAATATTGTAACTTCTGTTGACTGGTTTCATATTTTTATACATTTATTTTAGCAAAATAAACTTATGTTTTCTAGAATTATCTTTTGAACTGTATATTTTGGCTGACTTGCTTCATATCAATTGTAACGCCTTTGTTTTCATACTGAATTTGATTATGGAATGTTCATTCTACCTGATCAATACATATACTAATGGCAAGTATTACCAACCAACAGGGGATGCTTACTCATCTGATGGCACCTGATCCATCCTCTGGAATTTTCAGGGGTCCGTGTTTATGTGGGCAATCAGAAGTTGGACGGTTATTCGCTATTCGCTATTCGCCATTCGAATGGCGAACCGCAGGCTGTCTGCCGTTCGCTATTCAAATTACCGTAAATGTCCTAATAATTTTTTTTTCAAAAAACTTTAAAAACGCATCATAATCCGTGTTCAAGAAGAAAAGCAAAGACTTCACTTAAAGAAGAGGACTGAGGACCCCAAACCAATGCAGCTAGCCTGACCAAAATGATGACTATTTAGCTAGCCTGGTCAAAATTGGATAAAAAAACAGTTGAATACAACAAAAAGAATTTGTACATCTTCAAATTTTTACAGGGGAGGGGTATGGGAGGGACCCTTCCACTGTTAAAAGGAATTTATGTTACAAGACCGGGAACCCATTTAGCTAGCCCGGAGAAAATTGGAAAAAAAACCCGTATAATTCTATTATATGTATTTCTGAATAAGAGTACATTGCCCTGGGGTCTGGGTAACATCGAAGATCCCATATTTAGACCTTCATATTTTTACAGGGGAGGGGTATGGGAGGGACCCTCCTACTGTCAAAGGGAATTTATGTTACAAGACCGGGAACCCATTTAGCTAGCCCGGATGAAATTGGGAAAAAAAGCCTTATAATTCTATTATATGTATTTCTGAATAAGGGTACATTGCCCTGGGGTCTGGCTAACATCGAAGATCCCAT